ATGTTCAGAGCAAAACAGGAAAAAGGCAGATGGTGGTCTTTTAGGTGCATTTGGATCTTTCTTCTTTCCTCTCTTATCGCCAGCTTTGGGAGGAATGTAATTTTTCATCTCCCTGTCGTAGCGAGCTTTATCACTGTTCGCCATATCTTCAAACTTTGACTTTTCCTTGGCAGACATGGTCTTCCATCTCTCCGAGCACTTCTTGGAGAACTCAGCAAAGTTGGCCGAGGAGTCGGGGTGCTTCTTCTTGTGCTCTTCGCGGCAGGTCTGCACGAAGAAGGCGTACAAGGACATCTTGCCCCCCGGCTTGTTGGGGTCTCCCTTGCCCATGGCGGCGTGGCCTGGTGTAGCTTTTCCTCAGGGTCCTGCACAGCGGCTGAGAGCAACAGAGACACTTCCTTCCTAGAGCTCCGGCGAGAACTGGTTTACATAGATCGATATTTGAAAAGCAGCGATACAAAAGTACTCCTGAACAAAGTATCTCATCTTCAGATGTGCTTCCATTAGTCTCCTAAAATAGATAACTTTTGATCTCTGTATTATCTCTGTGTTGTTGCAGAACAAATTATCCCCCAAGCCAGCACTGTGGAAAACCATGTTTCTGATATGACTCTGTGGGTTGGAGCTGGGCTTAGCTCTGGGCCTCTTGCGTGGCTGAGTCCCCTCAGGGCTTGACAAGGAGGGACAGCAAAGGTCCAGGCTTGCTCTTATGCTTGTGGGCTGGATTCATTTCCTGCAGGCCTCATCCGCTTCCTTCTGGCTGTTCTCAGAGGTCCTGCTGGGTTCTTGCCATGTGTGCTCTCCCATTTTGTGGAGCATTTTGCTGTACATCACCTGGCTTCAAAGCGAGCAGGAAGGAAGGCGAGAGCGCTGTCTTTTTTGCACCTGAAGACACAGCTTCTCACGGCCTGAGCACAGAAGTGATGTCCCCCACTGCTGGCTCTGTTCTCTTGTAACTAGAAGATCACTAGATTCCCCCTGTTCTCGGGGGAGGAGTCTCCATAGGAGGTGGTACAAGGCCCATGCTGGAAGTTGACCTGTCACGGTCTCCTGTCCTTTGGCGAGCGTGTGGTCGCTGGTCTCAGGGAAGTGTGCTGTTGAGCTCCTTGCTGCAGAGGAGCTGTGGTGCATGCGTCTGAAGTGACGCAGCGCTGTACTGAAAGTTCCTGAGCGGATGTGTTCATCATCTGTCAGCTGCTCCTTAGGAGACTTTTCTACTGAACTGATAGATCTCTCCTCACACTCCTACCCCTCCACCCATGGAGTCTCGGTCAGTTTGGGTTCTGACACAGCATTAGCGTAGTCTGGGTGGCTTGAATGACAGTCGGCTCTGGGGACCAGCATGCCTGGATCTTGAGGGCCTAGAGACACCTTGTGTCCCCTCCCGTTACAAGGCCATTGGTTCCTTCATGAGACTCCACCCTGAGGACCTCATCTAAACCCGTTACCTCCCAAAGCCTCCAGATGACATCCACTGAGGACTTGGGGCTCAGTGCATGGCTATGCGAGGACGCAAAGCATTCATTCCACACAGATGGTCTGATGGCACTGTGACAAAATCCCTCCCAGCTCCTCTGCCCGCACCTCCCACCCCCATCCCTGGCTGTGAACACTGCAGACAGTTGCTGTTCTTTCCTCTCCTTTTCCTCTCTGCCTGTTTTCATGGAACTCTCCTATGCCTGTTTAGGTCTTAGTTTTGAAATCTGTTTCCCTAGATTCTTTGATCATTGTGACTCCTTTTCATCTTTGGGGAACACACCACCCTTTGTTCTGTTCCCAGTGGGGTGTGAGAAGGTGACTTGAGACCATCTTTTGTGAGTAAGTGAATTGAGGGTCTCTCTGGAGCAGTGATTCCTGGGCACTGCTGTCTTCCTTATCTCTTCAGTGCTCAGGGACTTGGTTATGAGAACCAACTTTCAGGTCCTCTGCTGGCTCTTGCTGCCTGGTGTCCTCTTTTGCCCGTGTCTCTGAGCAGTCTGGCAGTGTGTGTGTGCCTACAGGTCCAGCCATGAGGAAATAGGCAGGGTCCAACATCCCTTCCTCTTCATGGGAGGGTTGAGATTGTACCCTTTCTGGGCCTTTCTGCCGTTCCCAGAACGCTGTTGTCCCAGATAGTGTGGGACGTTTAGTGAGAGGCTTGCTTCTTTGCATGAGTAAGGATTTTAAGTTCAGGTACTCAATGTTTTTCTTCACAAGGAAGCTAATAAGTATTGGCAAATGTCTATACGTTGCCAGAACAATAATATCAAGGGGAGGAGGGGAAAGGGGAATACCAGGAAGAGAGGTAAAAACGATCAGATGTGATTGTGTGTGTGTGTGTGTGTGTGTGTGTGTGTGTGCCACTTCCCCAAGATGGGTACAGTCATTCGTACACCACAAACATAAATCAATTTAAAACAGCTAAGAAGAAAAGGAAGCTTGATTACAGCCTGCCCCACACAGTAGATGGGGACAGCGTGCAGGGCGTGGAGAGAAAGCAAGCAGACACGCAGGCCTGTTCCTTCACACCGACTCGGTTCTGGTTCCCTGACAGTGACACCCATCCTTCCTTCCTTTTTCCCTGTTCCCTATCTCGGCTGCCTGTGTCTTCATTCCTGTGTGAAGAAAGTTCTAGGCATTAGCAGGAGGACCCATTGTCGTACACAGCTAGCACCATTGCCAGAATCATTGAGGGTGAAAATGGTAGGTTTGGATGGTGGGTAAAGAGCAGTAATTTACCACCTCTGTAGGTGTTCATGTGTGATTACTTAACAATGGAAGCCATCGTAAAGGAAGGGGATGGTAGCAGACATGCACAGGGTGGGCATCATGAGGGAGCAGGTGTTACCCTAGGGCAGTCAAGGCCATACCCTCTCTTTCTGCTTGTATCTGTCTGTCTCTTGTTTTTTCTCTTCCTTGTGATTTTTAAAAACTATTTCATTAGTCCCTGCTTGCAGTCCATAGAGGTAGCATTCACAGAGGAGCTGGCACATGTACACATCGCATCTAAATTTTTTTTTTTTTTTAACTTCTACTTCTTAAGTTCCTTGACTTTTGCTTTTGGGGTATGGAGATCTGAGCCAAACCTGGTGTTCTAGTGCAGAGCACAGGGTGAGATGGCAAAATTGTGTCTTTTGCTTCCTGTGGAATCTATAAAAAAGGCCTACATAGTGTGATTTATTTATTTAAAGACAGGGTCTTACTGTGGAATGCAGGCTGGCCTTTTAAAGAAATTACCCATTTACAGATTTATCTACTCACAATGTTGTGTTGATGAAGTGCAGCTTATTTGTATCTTCTTCCTTTTGTAAACGTGCCGCGATGAGGGCCTCCTGTGTGCGTGGGCAGGAGTTTTTGTAGTTACGGTTTAAAGCAAACTTCTGGGTATCAGTAAAGCCTGGGGCGATGCATACCTTTGTAGTGGTTGAGCAGGGCGTCTTGCAGCCGCTTTTACTAATATACACAAAAGCTTTAGCTAAGGATCAGATGCTCTTGTGATGGCCATTGCCAAGGAAAAAGCTCACCCACGCTGTGTCCGCCGTGGGTTTAGGAGCAGTGTATGCGTGCTGTTTCTCAGAATGCACATTCCAGGTCTATTAGGCAAGCTGGGAGGATACTGGAATTAGTAAAAATTACATTTACGTGACAGTTTGACTATCCATTATATACTTATTTTTCTTTCAGTGTTTTTTTTTTTTTTTAATCTAGGGGTAATCAGTCAAACCTGTATTCATTATTCTTTCTGCTATATTAATCTCTGAGCAAGAATTTTTTAAAAAACTTTTTTGTTTAATGGAAAAATTTTCATCACATAAGAGCAAATAATACCATGAACACCCTGTACACATAACTCTGCTCTAACACTGTAGACTTTCCTCTAAGTGAGATTTTTTTTTCAGTTGTCTTTTAATACAAGGTCCTAAAATGTTGCCTAGGGTGGCCCCAAACACCTGGGCTTGAGTGATCTTCCTTCCTCAGTCTAGGCATGCAGTCCCACATTGGCTCCTCATTTTTTTTCTTCTTCTGGTACTGGGGATTGAACTCAGGGCATTTGCAGAGTTATATCTCCAGCTACCCGACCTTGCTTTAGAGACAGGGTCTTGGTAGGTCATTAAGTTGCCCAGGTTGGACTCGAACTTGTCATCCTCCTTTCTAAGGTCATGAGTTGCTCATCCGGGTATTTGAACAAGAGTTTTAACTATAATGTTAATGTTTGTATTTAGAAAGTACTGTATTTGGAGTAACAAAAACATTAGTAACACCCACTTGAAGCCTTATTTCAGTACTGCTGTGAGGTAAGGGTGGTTCTTTAGAAGGCTTACTGTTATTATTAGATTTAAAATGTGTCCTTTTGATGCTGTGTTACTAAGTTGGGTGTATTGTGGGTTTTATTTCTTGCCACTAGCTGCTCAGGCTTCTCGGGCCAGTCTGTTCTCTGACAGGAAGATTGTTCATGCGTTTTGTGAGTGTGACGTCAGTCTTTCAAGTCTGGACCCTGCTCCAGACGCTGCATTTTCGCAGGGCCCACGCCCCGCATGTTGCGCAGCCCGGAGCGCAGGTGCCCACCCCCCTGGCGGAGCCCTGTCTCACCGCTGTCTTTCTCCTCCAGATCGCCGTGGTCATGGGCTCCTGCACTGCGGGCGGCGCCTATGTGCCTGCGATGGCCGACGAGAACATCATCGTGCGCAAGCAGGGAACCATTTTCTTGGCGGGACCCCCTCTGGTAAGAACATAATCTCAACGGACTGATGGAAGTTAAATATACCCAACAAAATAGTGTGGCAAAGCATGCTTAGAACATACTGTTGTAGTCGTTTCTGAGGGCGCGGTTCTGCGACCTCCGCACGTTAGGTCGTTGTGCACCTGCCACAGCTGCCTGTCTCCACACTCGACTGCCATTCTTGCTCCTTGGCACCCAGCATGTCCTCCTGGCTCTGAGTCTGAGTCCAGTGCTGGACCTTGGGCAGCTGGCTAGCTCACTGAGCATACAGACCTCACAGGTCATCCGTGTGGTAGCTAATGTGAGAATTTCGTTCCCATCGTGTGTCTGTATGTCTTCTTCATCCATCCATTCATCATTGGATCTGTGGGTTGCTTCCATTTGGGGCCACTGTGAATAACGCTGCTATGAGTATGAACGTACAGACATCTGTGTGGAGTCCCTACCTGCATTTCTTTTGGGTCTATAGCCAAGAGTGGTTGCTGGGTTATTCTGTAGTACTCTGTGCTTAGTTTTTAAGGAATCACTATACTTGTGTTTGTGGCTGAGTAAACATTCTAGTGTGCGGATGTGCTGCCTTGTGTTTCTCCGTTCCTTGGTTGCCAGCCACTTGGGTTTTTCTCCTTTTTGGGTATGGTGACTAGCTGTGCTGTGGGTGTGCAGCGAGCACGTTTCGGCAGGGGGCTGTTTTCATTTCTATGCAGTGTACACCTGCTGGTGGGACTGCTGGTCAAGTGGTGACTCTGGTTACCGTTTGGGGAAGCCGCACACCATCCAGAGCACATTTACATGCTTACCTGCAGTGTGAGGCTCTCTCTGGTGGCTCCACGTCTTCACCGGCACTTGCTGTTATGTATCTGCCTGATTACAGCCATCCTGGTGGGCTGAGAGCCTGCCTCATTGGGGTCACTTCTTTTTGTAGTAGTGATTGAACCCAGGGATTTTGAGTTGTATTCTCAATGCTTTTTAATTTTTATTGAGATAGGTCTCACCATGTTGCCCAGGCTAACTTTGAAGTGGCTATCCATTCCTGCCTCAGCCTCCCCAGTAGCTGGGATTACAGGTTCGCTCGTCTTTCACTCACTTGCTCTCTCTCTCTCTCTTTCTCTCTCTCTCTCTCTCTCTCGCTCTCGCTCTCGCTCTCGCTCTCGCTCTCGCTCTTGCTCTCTCTCGCTCGCTTGCTCTTGCTCTTTCTTTCTTTGTGCAATGCTAGGAATCAAACCTGGGGTCTTTATATTGAGCCACATCCCCAGACTTTTTTTTATTTTTTTGAGACAGTATTTTACAAAGTTTCTCCATCTGGGCTTAAATTTATAGTCCTTCTGCTTTAGCCTCCTGATTGCTAGGATTAGAGCGGTGAACCACCATGCCCAACCTTCACCGGGCGTTTGACTAGAATCATATTGGAGTATCTTTGGAAATAGGTCTTTGTCGGTTTTAGTAGTTACTTATTTTTTATGTTGCTATTTTCAGACAGGCGCTCTCTGTATTCTCTGTTGAGTGTGAACTCACTGTGTAGCCCAGGCTGGCCTTGAATTGGCAGTGATCCTCCAGTCTCAGCACCCCGGGAACTGGGATTAAAGGTGTACACCACTACATCTGGCTTTTTTGAGCCTTTAGAATGCATAAATTATTCAGAAAGATTACTCATAAATGAAAGTAAGCCAGACATGGTGGCAACATTCTGGGAGGCTGAGGCAGGAGAATTTCAAGTTTCAGTCTAACCCGGGCAATTTAGTGCAGTCCTGTCTGAAAATAAAAAAAAATAATTTAAAAAGAGCTGAGTGCAAAGACCCTGGGTTCAGCCCCTAGTCACACACACAGTCTCTCTCTGTCTCCCCTCCTCCCCCACCGCACACAT